ATAAACTTTATTTTATATAGCGCCTTTAAGGTGGCTTCTCAAAGCGCTTTACAGGATGACAATAACAATAAATAAGAAGACTACAACAATAAATAAGGAGATTTCACAAGATAAAACACAATTACAATTACAACAATACAACAATAACAATAGAGGAGACCGTGGATTGTGGTACTAAGAAGAGCAGAGGGGTGAAGAATGGAACCAGTTAAGTAAAGTCTTTTCTGAAGGAGAAGGTTTTGAGTCTAGATTTGAAGGAGTTTAGAGAAGGTGACTCTCTGATATCCTTGGGCAAAGAGTTCCAGAGCTTGGAACTTGGAACAGTGAATTTAGCTAAAATTTCACTGTAGAGGCAACTGATTACTAAAAAGTTTCATGAGAAGTATTTCAGCTCAGCTAACAAGTACTGTACACTGTCTATTTTGTTATTGAAAACATAAAAGAGACTGAGCAAATGTCTGAAGAAATAGTACAAAAGAGGATATGTAGCAGTTATCTCTTGATGCCTCAAGCCAGAGGTTCAAACCAGCAGTTTCCCAGTTTTAAATGTACTGTATATATATTTTTAGAGCTGCCTATTCCTTTTTATGTTTAGTCTTCCATTACTAATTGAAGAGTTTGTAAATTACAAAAAGTTTAATCTTTTCTGAAAAGGATTGCTTGAAATTCTTGAATTTATTATTTTGGAATAGAACTGTTAAAATACAAAATATCATATTTTGTTTATATCAATATCTTATATTTCACATACCCTTTACATCCCAAAAAAGTTATCAATGTGGCTAAAACAAACTATCATCTTTTAACCAAAGAAAATCTGTGTAAGACAATTTCAGTATTGAGGAAACAGCTGACATTTTGAAGGTAGCACAGTACAAATAGGAACATGAGGAGGGATAAAAACAAGGAGTGGATGTTCAGCTCATCTGCTCATTTGCATGTCATCTCACATCATGAAGAAACTTCAAACAATCTCTGCAGCTGGTGAAGCATTAAAAAAGTGCCTCTGTCATCTCTGTCAGGTTGTACTAGGAAGGGTTTTGTTGATGAGTTGTAAGAAAACTACTTACAGTATACTGTTTGAATGCAGATTTTTTCTAATCTAATAATAAAATTTCTTGCTTGTAAAGTATGTCTAATGTTAAAGTGATAGCATTTCATTTCTTGACTTTATGGCAATATATTGTGTTTTGCAGGTATATTTTACAGATGACATTATTTATTAGTGTATGGCATATGCAGAAATATTGGGTACAGTGACTATTTATAGGGAGGAGCAATGGCACTGTGGCTAAGGATCTGTGCCTATGGCTGGAAGGTTGCCGGTTCAAATCCCGCGTCTGGCAGAGGAATCCTACTCTATTGGGCCCCTGAGCAAGGCCCTTAACCCCAGCTGCTCCAGGGGCACTGTACAAATGGCTGACCCTGTGCTCTGACCCCCAACTTCTCTCTCCCCATCTGTGTGCCTGTGTGTCTCGTAGAGAGCAAGCTGGGGTATGTGACAAGACAAATTCCTAATGCAAGAAATTGTATATGGCTAATAAAGTGATCTCTTATTGTATATGCTAAATAGCTGTGTGGCAGTGAATTCATATTACACAATGTTTAATATGCTTTTTTCTAATGAACGAACTGGAATGGCCAACCCATGTACCTGATGTAAACCCAGTGGAATACAAACAGCCTTAAGGAAAAGACTTGAGATCACTCTTTGCTTAATGTGTTGATCCTCAGAATTGACCTTTAGCCTCCAAATCTACCTGATCATTTAGAATAATCTCTACGAGGCTTATATGCTATATATAAAATGTGAATGTACGTATCTTTCATTTACAATGTAAAAGGACACATCAGTGCATTTAACACAATGCATTGCAGTGCAGTTGTTAACATACTCTACACATCACTGGTGCTAAATGGACACTGTCAGAGGTGCTGAACACAATAGTTAAGAAAAACAATTGATCATTTTTATCAGTTTAAAATCAGCTTAAACTGAGCCATAAAACAAGAAACTCAGCTTTGCAAACACAGATGTCAGATGTCAGTCAATATCGAGCCACCCTGAGGACTAAAAGCTTCCTCACATATGAACTGACCTAAATTGACATTTGAAACTCCCTCCAGTCATTGGCACTGTGTGCTGTAATGAGTGATGACCTGAAGCTGATGAAACCCAGGAAAGAGCATGATTGGATAAACTGCCAATAATATCACATACAGCATACTTTTAGTAGCTGAACTAATAAGGTTAGCTAGTAAGTTCTTGGTTTATACTAAATTATTATTATTAGTAGTAGTAATACTAGTTGCAGAGGTGACCAGCAGCAGTTGATGCAACTGCTTAAAATAAGAACTACTTTTGATGCAGTAAATCAGAATATTCCGTATATGTTCAGTAGGTTAGAAGTTTGAGAACTGTAAAACCTTGAAGCTGTCTGAATTGATGTACTTGCAAGATCTTCTGTTACTTTCAGTGATTAACCAGAAGCACGTGCACCTACAGACACATCTACTGTGGGGTTATCTACTAAAGCACCAGACTGTAATTTATATATTTCCACATGTGACCAAGTAAACCAGTTAGAGCCTGAAACATTATAATAGCACCTTTAAAAAACATACAGTTTACCTGTTGCCATTCATTTGTCTGCTCATGATCATGTCTGCTTATAACATTGATTGTGTGGGTTTACCTCTGTGGACTCAAACAGTGAACAATATAATCAAAAATGTTTTAAAAAATGTTCTTCATTTATGTAATATATCTGAGTGTGAGTGGTAAACACACACATGAAGAATATAAACATACAATTTTTTTAATTAAAACTCTTATTTATAATGGCAATATTGTACTATTTTACAATAGTGCATTTACTGGAGTGACATACAGTAAGTAAAGTATGTTGCTCAAGGGAACAGCAGAAATGTCCCACAGAGAATTTCAGCCCACTGTCCTTTCGTCTGGAGTCTAGAACCCTAATCATTGCTCCTTGTGAAAGGCAAATGAAGATGTAATAAATTTAGTCTATATACTGTAGAAGATACGAAAGATGAAAGGAAAGTGAGCAATTTCAAAGGCAGTGTAAGGAGAAGAATCCCCTGTGTGTGATTATAAAATGTGTTTCAAATACCTTGCAGCAACTAAGTGAAATATAAAGTATTGTTGAGAAACAGTAACAAAATGAAAGAATGTAATTCATTTTTTAAGACTGCTTACCCTCCTGTTTTCCACAAGACAACTTATATTTTCTAAATTATATAGCATCAACATAAATATGTGAATGTGTACATAAACACATACTGTATACTGTATATTATTAACTGAAACTGGTGTTAAAAATAAGTCATGGAAGGTTCGAGTGGCTTTTCCTTAATCTCTTTTTTAATCAATATTTTGTCTGCTACAGCTTTTATGTGGGAAGAATAAGGTAAATTTAGGTCAGGCAAACTTGATTTTGAGTGCTGAAATCCCGAGAGTCTTAAATACGATTCCAACTCCAGTTTACATGGTGTTTTTACATTGTTTGGCCTGCGGTTTTATGCATGTTAATGCATAAGTGTTGTCCCAGCCATTTAAGTCATACTATCTAAATGCCATGGTTCTTTATTCAGCCATCATCAGAAAACCACTTACAGCTGGCAAAGGGAATGACATCAAGTACAGTAGCCTATTCTGAAAACACAGGGCACATGGTGGGACCAAAACACACAAAGCTACTCATTTGGTGTTTTTGGTTTAGATGAGACTGAGAGATAGAAGTTGCTGGAAAAGCTATCTGATGACCCTGAAAAGCTGCACCCCATCACAATACACAAGTGAGGTGATGCTAGAGCCCAGGTGGCTGAGACAGCAGCGATGAAGAATTATACAAAGAGAAGTCTAGTTTAGTCTTCTGTACTGTAGATTAAACAGTCTTGTGCAGATTCAGCTTTAATGAGCTCAATAAGAACAGCAACGCGCTCTGGATCTTCCCTACAGAAAAGACACCCTGAAAGGGTTTTCATTCCTTATATACAGTATGACCTCAGAAAGGTTTTGTTTCACATTTTTATGGTTTGTTAATGATATTTGTTCTGTTCTTTGATATGTGTCGTAAGTGGATCTTCTTTGTCCTGTTCTAAGGCCTGTTCTTTGATACACAGCAGACGTTGATCTGCTTTATCCTGTTTATAATATGTTTATGGGTATTGGTCTTGTCTTTTGTTATGTATTTTAAGTTGCTGGAGCTGCTTAGGCAAGTCAACTTTGATTTATCTTAGTATGACTTTTGATGGAGGGTAAATGAACAGATCCCATAAATACCTTCCACATTGAGGTTAAGTAGAAATATTGCATTGCTGAATGTGAAATATTTACATGTACAACTTTATACTCCTAATGTAATGTTCATCTTGATGTTGTTCCATGTAATCAAATTCTCAAAACAAAATATTTATTTTCAATATATTTTTTTATTTTATATTTATTAGCTTCCTAAAGCTTTTTGGGAAACACTCATCATTATCCTACAGTAGGTGTATACTGAAGCCTGACAACTCTGATACAATAAGGGAGTGGTTACACTGCACAATATACAGTATGTGCGCATCCATTCAGTTTGTGTCTCATTATATTGTGGCCTTCATTATGGCCTGAAGTGGTTTTAAACTGGGCCTTGCATTGAAGTTTGGGGGCTGTGTAAATAAAAATGTGTAACAAAACTGTAATCAGCAATGAGTAGAAATTGGTACGGTATTTGACATTTTCTACTTCATAAATACCTGTATACAAAGTAAATAAAGAAATGACAGTTTGAATGTACATCTGTCAGCACTTTTACATACATGGCTTTCAACACAGACAGAGGAACTAAGCAGATATAACAAGCTGGTGGGTCAGAAAAGGGCAGCCTTTCTCAGAACACACCTGCCAACCTTTTAGCTTCATTACAGGGACACTGAGGCAAAACCTAACCTTTGTTTACACCTAGTCTAACTCTGTCACTCTCTCTCGACAGGTAGTTATCTGTGGCTGCCCAGACTCCGAAGACACTATGCGCCTGCTCTCCTGTGTGAATGAACACTTTGTGCCCCACAAGGTGAGTGTCTAAGCAGGTTTGTCTCGTCTGCTAAGTATATGGGGATACTGCCGACATTGTGAGAGCTGACACTGAGAAGAGAACTGACAAGGAGAAGAGAGCAGTTGGCAGATTAGGGGTCAGAGGAAAGGTGTGGGACTATTCCTTATCATAGCACATCATTAGAAGTTTGTGTTAGCTGGGGCTGACCTAGATTGTTAAAAGTATGGGGGCTGATGGTGTCTGAGGAGCTCATTACAAGGGTGTGTGGAAGATATGGAGCCCCACTGATTTGCAAATCATCACTTTGAGCTTTGAGGTTAGGCAGTGGCACAACTAAACTACTATGGCCCCCAATGGAAAAATATTTTTTCCAATAGAAAAAGGTTCCTCCTTTTCTTCCTTTCCCCTAACATCACACACTTGCAGCAGCATAATAAGGTAGCCACATCATTTGAAATTCTTCCTCAAACCAAATATTGTCTTATGTAAAGGCCATCTGTAGCACTTGGTGGGTTAGTGTAAATGTAGGCTTCAGGCCTACCTGCAGCCTACAACAGCTCTGAGACTGCTCTCTTTTGATTTTTCTTTTGAGATAACTACTTTTGTGCTTTTGTGGCATACATGGGTCATGTAGCATGATTTGAGATACTTTGGTAAAAATCTAATTTTAACAATTATCCCCCACTTATAAATGTTATTTTGTAATTATTTTGTAATTATCATGCTTGAATATCACAATCAAAAATATTTCTATACTGTATATACAGTTTCTAATCTTAAGTTTTGACAAGTTCAACACTTGATGATTCTCAACTACAGCTGATTACTACAATAATATGTAAGATCTTTCCTTACATTATTTCTAAGCTTTCATCATCAAGTATAATATTGTAACATACTGTATGTCAGTAAAATACCAAATATACTGTAGCTGTTTCCATCCTGAGAAATCAGTTAGGAACCCTGAGAGAGTACAACTAGTGGATGATAACATTTCACATACACCTCACTTAATCAAATTGTCTTCAGACCTACATTTTCATAGGTGAATGTTATTTTACTTAAAATATAATGTATAAAGGTGCAAAGATGATGTCATAGTCATGCTGACCGACATCCTTATGTTAGTCCTGTTAAACCAAGGTTCCCTGTTTAGTCATTAAAGATCTCATGGCCATGTTCATAAGAGCTGGGCTGTTAACACTGGGGTCCTGGTTAAATTCCACTCTTGGTGGAATTCAAGTGGTAGGTGGAGTCAATCTCTTCCTATGTGTAATCATTTTGGATGAAAAACATTATACAGTATTAGCTTAAAGAAATTACTGATTACTATTATATTCTGTGAACCCTTTAAAAAGTTTGAGCTGCTACTTTAATAACAATCACAAGAGCATAAAACATAAAGCAAACATTGTAGAAAGTCATTATTTTTCAATGTTATCAACAAATCTTTTTCTTTATGTACATCTTTAAAATTTTCTTTATGTATACTCAGGTTCAGGTTTCTGTACTTGCCATCTTGGAAGTGGAGGTCATATACTGTACCTTTTTATGCCATTGTACTATAAGATTTATCACTGGCACCTCCTCTAATAATTCCTCAAATTATTTGGCCTTCTCTATACGTAAGAGAAATATTTCACGTGTATAAGTTAAATATCTTTAATTGGGAAAGCAATTTTATTTGATTCATTGCCGTTCTCTGTGCTTTCCTATAATTTCAGTTGTAGTACTTTTAAAGAAACTAAACATTGCAAACAACTACTGACTCCGGGCCTCCAGTCACGTCAGCTTATAGCTCCCAATGATTAGATCAATCTACAGAGTGAGCTAAAACCACCTTTGTTTTCAATTGTATAACTAAATCTTTTCTGACACTTTTCAACATTGCCACATCCTGTTATTTCATTTTCATTGGTTTTCCTTTTCTTTCTTTCACTGTTTTTGTCTTCTGTGCAATGTTGGTGTATAAAAATGTATTTTTGGACTTAGGTCTTTATCGTGGTGAAAGTGAGAATTTATATAACACATCTGGTTAAATATTATTATTGTTAGTGTGAGACATTTTCCACATAGCTTGTACAGAATGGCACTGCACCCTGTACACTGTAGCTTGCACAGAAAAACTGCTTTTTATTTATCACTTAATAAAAAGGTCAATGCAGTGCACGTTACTTAATATATTGATTTTAGTATTAGAATTTCTTTATTTATTTTGTAATGTACAGCATTATACAGTGTCGTATTCATGTTATTTATTATATTTATTTTTTATTAACATCACATTCCCCTATTACATTAAATTGTTTTACTGTTTTACAATCTGACAATCCAAGACAGAACAAATGCATTTGTGAAATAACATTCCCCCATCGTGTTCTAGAATCTCCGGGAGAAACACTGTGCATTCTATAATAGTTTCACTATACAATGTGCAGGTAATCCTTTCTCCTTGTGGCACAAAACTATATTTTTCTTTCCATTTCTTTTGAAACAGTCCATGACATTGCTGTGACAGTGTTTGAAAGGGTTTACTTGCAACAACACCAACTGTTCAGCTGAAGGTGTTTCAGCCATACATACAGTATAACACTTTTTTAGCGTATTTACATAATTTTGCTCAGAAGCTACCAGTTTATGTTATGGCAAAGGTGTAAGGTTAAAGAGTGGACTGGAAACTACTTGCCTAGTTATTGTCTGTCCAGTTTACATATGGACATGTAGCGCAGTGGCCATGATTCTATCTCTTATTTCGATATCAAACCATAGGCTATCCTTGGATTTATGTAGTCTGGTGGTAACTGATTACCACATAGTCTGGCAATTAGTTACGTAGTCTGATTTACGTAAAGTATTCAGTATCACGAATGCAGCAGACCAACTCCAACAAAAAACTAAAATTCCAATTTTTTGGTTAAATTCTAAGTTTTTGGGTTGCTTTATGTTTGCCACGTAAAATCTCAGTGCGTGTTACCTACTAGCACACGTGTCATAAGTTGCTGACCGTTTGTCTTTGGACTGTAGGATGAAACTAGAGCACCTGGTTTTCTCCTGGGTATGTGGGAGTACTTTGGTGTTTGTGCTCCATACAGACAACACTGCAGCAATTGAATGCTGGGCCCCGGTGCTAAGAGGCACGAATGTTAACCACTGTGCCACTCGCTAGGGTTTCTGATTTGGAAATTACATTTAAAACTAGCAATGCAAAAGGCACACATATGGTATGCTGTCAATGCAGGTTGAACAGGTATGAAATTTTAATAGTTAAAAACTAAAAAAGTGGGGTAACATATACCAGCCATGCTGAATTTTAAATTATTGCCAAGTGATTGGTAATCTTCAGAAGATGACGTGCTAGTTGATGGAAGCTTTGTTTTGAGATTTTTAAAAATCTCATACTTGGACCTGTAGTTTAAGGACACCGGTGTGCTTTTGCCCCTGTTCTTGGTACTTCATTTTCTAAAACTGGAGTCAACAGTGATGTGTTGGAAGATTTTAATGGTGTTTCCTGGAACATTTTCAACTGAATTGAAACTGGGCCGATTTTCCTTCCTTGGGGGAAGTTTTCTAGTTTTCCAGTTGACATTTTTCAGTGACTTGAATTGACAGCTAAGAATACAGTCCAGCTTTGCATTTAGAATTTGAAGAGATATTGTTCATTGTGATACAGAAATATCTCAAAAACAAAATTTAAAGTATATTTCCTGAAAAAATATCTATCAAAGAACATTAAGAGTAACTTTTTTCAAACACTTACAATGTAATTACAGCAATGAGTAGAGCAGCAGTGAAGGCATTCTGAAAATTCATGGTATCAAGCACTAGTTTTAGACTGCTATGAGATTTCTACCATGCATTTAAGAAACTGTATTATGCCTCGATCCTTTATCATCAAATTTTTGCATTTTAGAAAACACTAAGTATCTACATTGCAGTATCAATTTTAGCTTAAAAACATATTTTCAGTGTTCTGCAACCTGGCTTGAAAGTTTTTTAGATGTATTCATCAGTCTCAAATTTAGAACTTAACTGTGGTGCACTAACACAATGAAAATAATCAGAGAAATGTATGGTAATTACTACACATGCAGACCTCACTGATTAAGCATCATTGTCTGAGATAAACATTTCTCCAACATTTCCAAGCTGGAGTCCAAGCTTTACAAGCAGACACTTGTAAAATAAATAATTTAAATGGATTTAATGCACTTCACAATTACATTATTGTTAAATTAACCCCCCAATAAAATATTTAGCATTGAAATGCAAATGCATTGGAGTCCTTGTGTCCACTGCCAGATAGTTCAGGAATGATTCTAATTCCACTGTTCTCTTGCAGCAGTATGGCTATTATTATTATTATTATAATTATTATTATTATTATTATTATTAACATCAAGCCATTTACTACCTGTGATGAAATGAAGACACAAAGTAAAGTAAAAATTTTACTTTGTAAAGTAAAATTTTAATTAAATTAAAACTAACTTGGATAAAAAGTAAATGTCCAGCTGAGAGACCATGTATAAACCAGTACTGTCCTCAGGACTTTCCTCTGCAAAAAGAGAGGTTTTGTGAAATTGTAACTAAATCCCCAATTGTTATTTCCCCAGTAAAATAATACAGTTGGACTTTTGTCAACATTACTAAATATCAGAGAATATCCACGGTAACACATCCGAAATACAGACAAGCTGACTTCCCAATTTTCCCAAAGTTAAGTCTCGACTTTTATTTCCAAGTTTTGAGATTTCCTGCACATTCCAAGAAAGCTGACTATAGAGCAGAATCCTTTCCATTTGAGAAACTGTCTATCGTGTGTAGGTATCCATGGAATTTTTTCCATCTGAGAAGCTGTCTGTGAGGCATAGTGGGACTTTTCTGTCTTTTACTACGCCAGTCGTCCTTTGGCAAAGAGCCAGGGGACAGTAATTGGACTCTGTGATCATTTACAGCATTCTCCCTGTGTGAAGTAGGTTTTAGACGGAAAATGAATCAATTAAATGGCATTATTGGAG